AAACCTTCCACGACTCACCTTTGCCACACTCCTGGAAATACCGTATGCGAAAACCTATAAAAAAGTGCTTTTGGATTCAAAAAAACTATGTCGGCAAAAAATGGCGCCTGCTCTATGAGGAATTGCCCACTGTGTAAAGATGCTTTTCGAGGTATTGGATTCTCGAGGATTGTACGATTAAATAATGAACTAAGTTACATCTCCAGTATTATATTATTATTGTCATTTGTTTTTCAAAATGACGCATCATACCAACTTCCTGGATTTTTCTCCACAACGGTTTAGCATAATGGAAGAAACAGCTATTGATTTTGATTTGTGAAAAAATATCGACAAAACAATTTATTGTGGCTTTTTCGAAATCGCAGGTCAGGTGCTGTGGATTCATTACAACATTCAACCTTTTACCATATTCGATTAAATGTCTCAATATTTTCATGTAGACAATGGAAGTTTTCCGTGTACAAAGAATATGCACATGTATCATGGATACCATCGCCGTCGACTAAACTGTTCGATGGTACAATACTTTATTTATTTTGAGGCGCGAGCATAGATATCTGGGACGAATTGAGAAAAAAATATATGGAACGAAGTGAGAGAGACGTGTTGATGGGACGAACTGAGAAAAAAATATATGAGACGAATTAATTGCGACGAACTGAGAAAAAATGCTTCGTGGGACGAATTGAGAAGTCAATTTGGGACGAACTGAGAGGACACCATGTTTTTATTTATGAATAATCGTCCAGTGAAGTTTGTAGCTGTTTACTAGACAGTACTTTTTTACTTTGTGAGATCGTATATGGCATATACAAAAGATAGTTCTACTGTTAAGGTTTGTTTGAAATAAATAAATAAAACACATACATTTAGTCTTTTACAAGTACTGAACTATCGCAGAACCTCTAACATGTTCTACAGATACAGATTTCAAAGCAATAGAGTTTAACCTTCATTTTTCCATGAAGATCGCTTTGATGTGATATTAAGTTTATTATTATTAAACCAGAGGGGAAAACGTCAAAATTCTACCCGTAATTCTCAATTTTCTCCATCAAAACTCAACTTTTATGCAACAAAAATCGTATTCGAGATCGGGATCAAAAACTGAGTCGAGTAATGTGTATTTCTACCCTATTCGACTATCTTAACTTTGTTGAAAAATTATGAGATTTTCACCAAAAAATGTAAATCAAGTAAAAATTTCGAAATACGCGTTAGTCGACTCAGTATTTTATTTTGTTTCCGAATATGATATTTCTGTCGCATAGAACTTGAATTCTAATGTACCGACGTGAGTCTCATGCTGTGGAAAGGACGTTTGAATTTTAAACAATATATACCGACAAAAGGGCATCGCTTTGGCGTCAAATTATTGGTATTATATGATTGCTACACTAGTCTCATTCTAGTCTTCTTAGTGTATTCTTCAGGTAAACAGACCGAAGTTCAGCTCGGTAAGGAACTTGGAATGTCTGGTTCCATCGTCATGGGTATGCACCAATACAATATATTGAGCTCCAGTATTATTGGTCACCCAATATTTTGGAACTAATAATGTTGGTCACTCCAATATATTGAGTTTTCACAATATTATAGGGTATTGGGTCGCTCGAGTTCAGCCTACTTTTACAGTACAGACGCATGCAATATAATCCAATTAGGTACGCTTCGATTACTGCTCGATGTTAGAGCATTCAGCAAAGTCGTTCCGGATCAGTTATAAAAAACCACTTAGAGCTGCCGAATGTCTCATTTTGTTGAAAAATGTTTGCTCTACCAAACCGAAGTGCTAGGAAAATTTTAATGTTTTATATAGAGAAAATATGATAAATCGAAAACACACAAAAATCACAGAAAAATAATCAATAGTTGATTATTTTTTTGCAGTTTTGCTCAGTTTTGGATGCTTATATTTCTGTCACAGATAACACTTTTGCACTTCAGTTTGGTAGAGCAAACGGTTTTCAACAAAATGAGACATTCGGCAGCTCTAAGTGGTTTTTTATAACTGATCCGGAACGACTTTGCTGAATGCTCTAACATCGAGTAGTAATCGGTGCGTGCCTAATGATATTAAGGTTAAAAGTTGGAATCCACTGTACTCTGGAATCCAATATTACTCAATATTATCGTACAATATTATTGGGTGACCAATATTATTGGTCTCAATATATTGGCTATACAATAATATTGAGACTCGATATTATTGGGTATCCAGAATATTGTACAATATCTTCAGTAATGATTGGTATTGGTACATGCCTACATCGTCATGACTCTCGTGAACAGTTATTTGGACAAAGGCCACGTCGTTTTTAATGCTAATTGGTATTCATCACTGCTTTTATATATCTGAAGGAAAAAGGAACGAAAAG